CCCGCCGCCGAGCGCCGTCAGCCGTCGTGCGGAGCCATCGCCAAATCCACGTGAAGCAACCCCTGTGTCCTGCATCCGTCGTCGTACAGAGAGGCCAGTGCCTCCATTTGTTCCATTGATGAGTGAACTGATTTGCATGCGGCTGGAAGTTGGGAGTTAAATGCTTAATTTTCTACTCCAGTTTGTTTGATTTGGGGATCTCTTGCTTTGCTTGATTTGGGGATCACTTGCTTTGTGTTTCTTTTTCTTTTTCCCATCGATTAATTTGTTGAGCTAAATGCAGATGATTTTGGTTGATTTTGGTTTTATTTTGGTTGGAGGGGTCTTCCCCAAGATTTGTTTCTTCCCAGGAGCACTCAATTAGCAAAAATCATCTAATCTCGCGAGCCTTTGATGCCTCCTCGACTGCAAGCTCGCGAGCCAAACGAGCTGGCTCGAGCTTACAAACGAGCCGAGCCGAGCTAGACTTTTAGCTCGTTAGGATAACGAGCCGAGCCGAGCCAGCTCGTTATCCTAGGAAGGCTTCAAGGTCGACTTCATTGTGAATGAGATGTTTTTCTTTCTTTCTTTTTGTGATTGACGCTTCGACAACACCTTGAAGCATAGACTTTGGGTTTATTTCAGTATTCATTTATACCTTCCAAATGAAACAATATTGAATACACGTTGTATCTAAGTGAATGTGTTAAGGATATATGAGTTATGGGCTTTTTAGTCTTTTCCCCTTTCGGTATACAACATATATGCTCTTAGGCTTCATTCATTCCCTCAGTTTGGTTGGTAATTTTTAACACACCTGAAACGAGCACATGACTAACTAACTACTAGACACTTGAAAAATTGATTTATTTGTCTATATAGATTTTGTTTTTCCAAAAACATACCATTTAATAATTTAAAAAGCATGCTAACGAAAAATGAGGAAGTTGAAGGAAATAACATTGCCTTTAGTCTCTTTGAGCCAATCTCAAGACATAAAGTAAAATCCCTAAATTATTTGTCACACTAAGACAAAGCACATAGTGAGCAAGTGTAAAACGGCCTGCTGATTGCTGTACCTCCCAAACCCATGTAACTGAAGCATGCTACCTTGGAGCATTATCATAAGTGAAGATGTTTAACTGTCTTAGATACTGACCTATCTTAACTCTGAGATAACCATGTACAATACAAGCTCAAGCATGTACATGATAGCGAAATGTTGTTTCCTATTTTTTTTGTTTTTGTGAACAATTTTTTGTTTTTGTGAACATGTTTACTGTCTTAGGCACTGAACTATCTTTACTTTGAGATAATCATGTATATAGCACAAGCTCAAGCAGAATATCGAAATTTTTAGATAACCTCTCGATATGCTTTGTATGGCTCATGCAGTTAGCTTTGTGAATGAACATGAAGATGTGACTGTTCTTGAGAGATAAGCAATGAACATCGATATCCATTTGGAGCAGAACACATCGATATCCTGATGCTTCCTACCCCTAGATGCGGAGCTAACAAATCTCTCCATGGAATTTAGGACATCCATTTGGTTTTCTTCAGAGAAGATTTGCAACTGAGAAACTTAATGCACCTTGGTTATTTATGTGCCAACTCCAACCACCATGGCCAAAAACTTACTACTAGTTGTTAGTGGCACATGCTTTATCTTTTTTCTTTCATGAACATACTACCACTTCTTTTTATAACTTCTGGCCTCTATAATACTATACTAGTATTTGCTTAATTTCCATGCTCAATAGTATCAGAGTTGTACTTGAATGGAATTTGTGAGAGAACACGTTTGCTGGTTTCTCTAACTGATTTTGTTTGAATCAATATATAATTGATGCTGACAGTTAAAATTTCATTGATAAAAAACATCTCAGCATCATTTGGAAAGAACATGTGGCCTATTCCTTTCATCACTTGTTCACTTCTGCATTTTCTTTCGAACTTCATTTTGTAGGATCGTAAAGAGCTTTTCCCACTCTAAAAGCAAGCCAATGAGGTGAAGGGTTTCTCCACTTATATATTAGGTCTATTGCCCTTCCACAACCAATGTGAAACTATTCAACACATTTTAGTTTGGATTGGAACATCTTTTGGTAATACATCGTCCAGTTTCATTTTAACATGTTGGAAGAACGCTTTACTATATGTTTGTCCTTAGCAAGAACTCAGACTCGAGGTAAGAAAAATATGAAATCCCACGGTAAATTGGCAACAAACTCAAGCTGTCCAGTCAGCTGAAAACAATTCAACACGAAAACAAAATAACGCTGACTTTTTTGGATTGGTGGAAGTTAAATCCTTCTATCAATAGTCCAGAGAACATCGAATTAAAGTCGTCATGAAATCAAAGAGAATTGCCCCTAATCTTTGTTATAAACAAAGCTTGAATTGAACAATAGTCTCAAGGAGGCATTAATTTATATGAAATACAGTAGTGCGTATAGAAAAATGAATATAATCTATAAATGTAGTACTGTAACCTATGTATGTAAAGGATTCTATATTCCTTAAGAATCGTCCCCCATCCAAATAGTGTGCAACCACAGACTGGCGTCCTGCTGGCAGTTGAAACAGGGTACCCTGCTTGCTTTCTTCCTAAAACCTCACAAACCCATCATGTAATTGAAGAAAGCTTGGAGCATCATCAGGCTAATTACCTTCTTCACTGTGACCATGGTGATTTTATCGATTGTGAATTGTGATAGCTAGGTAGCAATGGGTTTCTTGGTTTCTTTTACACCACCCAAGCATGCAACACATTGCCACTATCTATATCCCATCTTATGAATTCTACAGGAAATAAATTAATCAAATTTTGCAAAAAAGTATTGTTTGGTAGCACCATACAAAAATCAAAGGAACTTTGAGTCATAAGGCTGAGAAAACATGAGGTCTAGCCTCATGTGAGTTTTCCTCCAAAATTCCTACAAAATTAGCAATTCCATAGGAATTTCAAAGAATTTCCATAGCAATTCCTACAAAATATCACCTGTTGTTCTTTTATTGGCAATTTAGTTTGGATTGAAAAATTTTGTGGACAAAAATCGTCGTGCTTCACTTCAACAATAATATGCAGCAGGCGCCTAATTTCTTCGAATAAACAGGGGAAATTGAACTTAAATCCTTAATCGTTTGCTAGATTTTTCTTGTGAGTGACCTGGCAGAGATTGATCGAGGAATTGTATTTCCATTGGGAAACTGACAGAAGAAATGGATTTTTCTGTGATCATTTCTGGTGGTCCACATACCGGAGCGCATATTTTCCGACAGTAAATCATATTTTTCTAAGAGTTTCTTATACGCAAGAAAGCTCTCAAGTCTGTTAGTGGCTTGTTTTCCTGGTACCTCCCAAACACATGTAATTGAAGCTAAGCTAACTTGGAGCATTGGATTAGTAGATTTGCTTCCTCATTGTGACCATGGAAATTTTATCAATTGTGAATTGTGATACATAGCTCTGTGCTTCTTAGTTTCTTCTACACCAGCCTAGCACATGTTGCCACCAACTAGCTATATACCCCATCTCAGTAACGTTAATACCTGACAATAATGTGCATTTACTGTTGGTAGAAGGGATCAAGGACACTGGAAATTTAGTCGGTAAAATATGCTTAGTTTTGCGCACTAAAAGTATGGTTAAGCTTACTTTCAATGCTGTTCCTTATACTTTCATATACTTACTAGTAGTGCTTGCTTAATTCGGTTCTTGGTGAGCTTTTAGTTCCGAGTAAATTTCCAATGCCCAGTTCACCAAGCAAGCACAAGGTATTTTCCAGTGACAAAATTTGCAATGTGTTCATCATCTGTAGCCCTGTCAATGCATTATTTTTTTAAATAAAAGAAGTATAAGTTCTAGTAGTTGTGCCGGATGCACACAACCATATTTGTGGATACCAATATTTGAACTCTGGTGGGTGAAGTCATATACTCATGGCTGCAATATCATTTAGCAAATGTAGTTAATATTGACATTAATCGTTGATAACCGCACGACCCTATATCGGTAACGTAATTTTTCAAAAAAAAAAAAAAACCAACAAAGAACTGACAGCAATGTGCATGAACTCTTGCTAAAAGACATCAAGGGCGTAGGACGTCTAGTGGGTAAAATAGGCAAATTTTGTATACTAAAAATATGGTTACGCTTGCTTTGATGTTGTTTCTCATACTTTTATATATTATGACTAGCTTAACTCGGTTCGTGGAGATCTTTTAACCATGTACAACACAAGCTGAAGCAGGAGTATTCTCACATACAGGGTAGGAAAACCTTGTTGCATGAAAAAAAAATGTGAAAATGTTTAACCTTGTCTTATACGCTGAACTATCTCAACTTTGAGACAATCATGTACACCGAAACATGATATCGAAAATTTGAGATAACCTCTCTGCTTGGTATGGCAAGCACTGAAGTACTACTGATTTCGATCCACTTTGATTCTGTAGACTCAGGCAGTTATTCCAACACTTTGGGACATTAATTAATTAGGTTTGTGAATAAGTCGAAGATCTGGCTGTCCTTAAGAGATATAAGGCAAATGGAGGTTGAACAGAGCACGTTGGTATCCTGATGCCTCCTACCCTAGATGTGGAGCTAACAAATCTTTCCATGGAATTTAGGGCATCCGTTTGGTTTTCTTCAGAAAATTGTAACTATACTCTGGCTTACTATGCCAACTCTAACAACTAAGGACACAAACTTTCTACTAGTTGTTACTGGCACAAACTTTCCTGTTATTTTTTTCATCAAGGTGGCATAGCTTATTGCCTTTGTAATACTTTACTATTATGCGCCTTAAAAAAATATTACTTGTTGTTCTTTCCTTGGCAATTTAGTTTGGATAATCTATTTCTTTCATCACGTTTATATTTTTAGCTTCGTTTCAATGCCTGTGTTTGGAACTCCAAGTTCCCAACCCATCTCCCTCGTTTTTCGCGCGCACACTTTTCAAATTGCTAAACGGTATATTTTTTGCAAAAAGTTTCTATACGAAAGTTGCTTAAAAAATTCAAATTAATCCTTTTTTTAAAAGAAATTAGCTGATACTTAATTAATCTCCCGCTAATGGACCGCTCTGTTTTCCGTGCGGAGAGATGGGGTTCCCATCCCTACTATCGGCACACAGCCAAATGGATTGAAACATTTTGGAGAGAAACTAGAGCACGTTATCCCATCCGAACAGCATAGTTTAAGGGGGTGTTTGGGAGAGAGAGACTTATGGTTTTGAGTTTAGCCCTCTCTCCCAAACACCCCATAAGTTGTTGATGATGTCAAGGCTCTTTCGCGTGACCAGTCCTGTATCATTTTGATAGATGGGACGACTACAGAGCTAGGCCACATGCTCTGACATGCCTATGTGCTAGGTAGCTAGGATGGAGTTGTGTCAATAATCAATATGCAATGGATAGATGGTCTGAACTATTTCTTTATTTTTTTCTAAAGTAGGGAATGAGAGCTAGTCTGACCAATTAGGTTGAGTCACCTGGATTCATACATGTGATGATTCTAATATTTGGAGATACATTTCATGTCTATTTGTATCAAACTTGCTGCAGGTGCTTTGGGTATTTGGGCCGAGTTTAGTTCTAAACTTTTTCTTCAAACTTTCAACTTTTCTATCACATCAAAACTTTCCTACACACATAAACTTCCAACTTTTCCGTCATATCGTTCCAATTTCAACCAAATTTCTAATTTTGGTGTGAACTAAACACACCCTTGACATGGTAATTATGTCCTAGATATGGTACCCACAAGTATCGAACTTGGTTACTAGGTATCGGAAATGGTATCCACAGGTATCAGACCTGAGGCCTCATATATGATACCATAAGTAAGAGACTTGGTTACTAGGTAGATATACCGTAGGTACCGGATGTGGTGTATCCACGAGTATCAGACCTGATACCTAGGTATCGGATGTGATATCCACGAGTATCAGACTAGGTACGTAGGTATCGAACATGGTACCTATAGGTATCAAACATGATATTGTATCGGATATGGTACCTTGATATATATCAGAGATTGTAATATAGGTATATTATCACAAATTTATAATGTTTGGTACCTAGGTACCGATTAATTGAGATGAAAATTAAAAAGTTTCATCTAAAAAAAATTAAAAAATAGGAAAGAAAAGGGGAAAATTTAGTGACTTTCCCCTCATCTGTACTGCTTAAATAATAGTACACCGTAACAAATTTCTAAAACAAATTGGTAGCTGCATGCCAAGGGTCCATTTTATATGTGGACATCATGCGAAATCCGGAGGGTCCACGTTAATTATCTCATCCGCACATACTCAACATGGGCCCCACTTCTCATCATATTTTATCTTCCCGAGCTATCCGTATGATAAGTGGGAAGTTACTTGTAATTTGTGAGAACGCATGTGTCAGATCACATGCAAGCAGGGAGCATGTTCCATTAACTATACCGTGCAAAACGGTATCCCGTTTTCTAGCTTTTCTCAATATTTTGTGGTGAAAGATCATCTTAACCTCAACAATAATATGTTGAATATGCACATCTCAGTAAATTTGTTTGGCTTGGCTTTATTTTAACGGTAAATTTGTTTGCGCAGGAAGATGCTGAGCCTAATTTCTTCGGATAGACAGTGGAAACTGAACTAAATCCTCGTGAAGTTCATCGGAATCGGCTTTGGCGTTTCTGCATCCAAACATGATCCTGGTTAATTACCTCGTGATGTGGGCAACTGTAATATGGCCTCCTGCTGGCTTGTCTTCCTGGCAACTCCCAAACCCATGTAATTGAAGCAAAGCTAACTTGGAGCATTGTCTCAGTAGATTTGCTTCCTCACAGTGACCATGGAGATTTTGTCGATTGTGAATTTTGGTAGGAAGCGATGCGTTTGTTAGTATTTTTTTCACCACCCCAGCACACGTTACCACTAACTATAATGTGGATTTACTGTTGGTAAAAGGTATCAATGACACATGAAGTTTAGTGGGCAAAATAGGCATATATTTTTGCACAATAGAAGTATGGTTAATATCGCTTCAATGCTGTTTCTTGTACTTCTATATATTATTATTAGTACCAGCTTCTGTTCTTGGAGAGCTTTTAGTTCTGAGTAACTTATTTCCAGTGACCAGTTCACTTAGCAAGCACATGGTAATTTCCAGATCAAAATGTAGCAGTGTATTCTTGATCTGTAGCCCGGCCTATAAATGCATTATTTCTTGGATAAAACAAGTATAACTTTCCCTATGATGTTCAAGATATTGCTAACCTTGAGTAAGGCATGGTGTTGCACACAAGAATGATGGTGATATGGCAGGGAATAGAGCTCAATTGCCATTACTGCGGCATCACATATCAAAGGAGGAACATAGTCAATGGCTGAATTGTGGAACAAGCTCAGGGTATTTTTGTAAGCTAGTTGGAGCCAATTCAATTGGATTAGTTATCTTATTTTGTTAACAAGTTGTTATGATTAAGCTCTACCTAAGAGAGCACAACTTGATCAATCGATAAGCAGGAACATCTCCTCATCCTCTTTTCCATCTCCTTCCTCTGTTCTGGCGCCGACCAGACATGCAACTCCACCAAGCCTTGCCTGGCAACATCACACTTGTACTTTCTTACTCTCTCCATTTCATATTATAAACCAAACTTTTTTCTAGTCAAAATTTTTAAAGTTTGATCAAGTTTATAAAAAAATATAGCAACATTTTCAACAAAAACCAACATATTATCAAAGTATATTTGGTGCTATATATATTGCCAATTTTTTCTATAAATTTGAATTAACTAATTTGGTGCTATATATATTGCCAATTTTTTCTATAAATTTGATCAAATATAAGAAATTTGATTAGGAAGAAGTCAAAAACGAATTAATATGAAATGGAGGGAGTAGGTCACAGGCAACTCCTATGCAACCACCAGCATTAGAAAATATACAACGGAGCTCTAATTAGTTTTATGACCCTAGTGAACGAGCTAAATGCTGAATACCTCAAAGGGTACTCCTCTTATTAGCTCCCTCAAAATTACACTTCAGCCTCTGCCATCGTGATATCCCTATGCCTCCTAGCCCTACATGTGGAGCTAAAATTTATCTTTTTTGAATTAAGGGTATCCTTTCCCTTTTCTTCGGAAGCTTGCAGTTATACTGTACTGTTAGAAATAACAAAGTCTTAGCATACCTCGGTTACTAATAGGAGTAAATTTACCATCCAACATTTGATACTTTCTAGTGTAAAATATGGTATCTTAAGGTACACAAATTTATGTGCAAAATGTGATACCTTGAGTTACCAAATATTGGATGGTGAAATCGCTGTACTAATATATGTGCCAACACCTACCACCAAGGACTGAATTTGCAATATGGCACTAGTTGTTGGTGGCCCGCGTTTTGTACTATTTCTTTAGTAAAAAGGAAGTATAGCTCCTGGTTTCCTGCCATCTGCAATAACTTTATTATTTGCTTGAATTTTCCATGTTCAATAGCCACAAAGATATTGGACGGAATTTATGAGACACCAAGTTTGATAGTTTTTCCGATTGATTTTGTTTGTATCAATTACTGGTGCTAAGAATGTTTGACCGCACTATTTTAAAATGTAATTTTGTATTTTTGAAGTGAAGGTATAATGGTCATGTTGTGGGCCTGAAGGTCATGATAGTTAACTTGTTGGGATAACGCAAAATTAACATAACGTGCACATTCCATTAAATCGGTGAACAAGCGGCATAGACAGATCAACTGGTGCTGGTATTGCTTCCATAATGGAAGATAGAATACCCAAACATTTAAACTAGAATATTATGTTTTTTTGGGCTGTGTAACCGTCACAAGGTGTAGAGGCCGAGTTTAATATAATCCATTATCTAAAAAGAAAAAGAATATTATGTTTTTGCAAGTAGTCTCACTTGGAGAAAGTGTTGAACCCATTGCCCCTACGCTTTATCGGCTCGTCCTCGACTCTATCCTACAGAAGAGGCTTGTGTCGGATATGCTACAGAAAACGTGTGCTTTGCAAAACAGTCTCACAAATCTTTCAGAAGATGGAACAGATTGGCAAACATAAAAGCAAAGCAAAGTGGAACAAGTCAAAATTCATATCTCCAAATATTGTGAGGTGAAGACTGAATCTTGCGCATCAGATGTATCATTCAAGATTAGACACAGATATCTTCTGTCACATAGAGTGTCTAGGCATTAAAGCCACGGCAGTTGATAGCCCGTTAACGCCTTAGTTTTGTACTCCTTCAGTCCCAATCTTCTGTATTTCAGAGGAACTTATCAGAAATTGATGGCAGAAAAGTGATATGGGCAAATTACTGGGTGTAATTTATTTTCTTGTCGTAAATGTAAAACCCAAATATCATTCAGTCAAAAAAAGAATCACATCGTATAATTCCTATGAAGTAATGTTTCTTAGGGAAAAATCCACCATGCATGAACATGCATTCAAGAAGTTCCCAAGTAGAAAAATAGAAATGCTCAATTCTTATTTACTAAAATACTAATCCTTGGTTAGAGCCACACCGGATCAGATTATACCTGTGCTGCAGAATCGCATTTGGATGCCTCCCATTCCAATGCTCCATGATGTAGGTTAAAACGAGAACTTTCGCAATAGCACACAGACTTCCTCATCGTCAAGCATGGTGCATGCGTGAAGTCAAAACACAATATCCTGCCCTTTGAATTTTACCACATTCCGGCAGGTAGAGGGAGTATGCGAAATGAGGAATTCTATATGCTTTATAAGATGAGCAATTTTACGGTCCTTGAGAAGGTACCATGAGGTACCATTTTTTCTATTGTAAATTTGGTACCTCTTGGTACCTAGGTACCATGAGGTACCAAATTTTACACTAAAATTTTGGTACCTCATGGTACCTCCTCAAGGACCGTATAATTGCTCTTATAAGAATGGTAGGATACAAGTTGATGTAGAGGTTGGACTGGTTTCAATTATCAAAAAATTAAAAGTGAATTGCAATTTGGGCAATATTTTATTACCTAAGTTTTACTTTGAACCACCTTTCAATTAAACCAGTCTTTTCAGTTCGGACCGGATAACTTCGCACCCAAACAGTCTTTTCACTTTGAACCACCCTTTTTTGGGTTTGGACCACCCCAAACAATTTCTTCAGCACCCATCAACAATCTCAATCAAATCGGTTTCGATACATCAGTGATCTTCCATGTTTATATGCAGGCCAAATCTTTACCAGAATGGAGGATATATATGAATATATAGTAAAGAGAGTAGGGTGGTCCAAACCAAAAATATGATAAAGTTACCGGTCCAAAGTGAAAATATTAGATTAGGGGTGATAAAAGTGAAACTTTGTCAATAAAAGGTGACCCAAACTACAATTTACTCAAAAGTGAATCACTTATAAGAAATAAAAGATGAGAATACGAGAAACACCAACAAATGGTGGTACATATATTTGGTTTTTCTAGATATTAGTAATTAGTTTCAGTGTCAACTCCGTAAAGGATAAGCATCAGGCAGGCATGCTATCCTCCTATACTTCAAGAGCTCACTCTTGCAATAATTTAGTGTATTTAGATGTTGATGTGAAAGTGGTCTGGCATTCAGATGATGTTGCAGCAGATTTCTGTTATTCATTTGGGAATGCAACTATCAAATGCTATTTTTCGAATGCATTTTGAATAATAGATGATTATGGGTCTGCTTCATTTTCTAAGTCTAGGTTTTGGATGGGTGGTTATCTGCAACATCAAAACAACATACCACAGGAAAATGCTGGTCTCCTTTTTATCATTCTTCAGATTTAGTTTGCTCGATTGGCTCATACAAAAAATAAAATTGATCAATTGCTGTTTATACAAAATTCAGTGGTTACAAGTATTCATAACTTTGCTAGATATACAGGATGAGCTTGTTTGCTTGCACCATGTACACTAAGACCTAGAAGAAATAAACGACAACAGTAACAACATGTTGCAGCTATCACACTGACTGTGCTTTCCTGGTTATGTTCCTGTGTTGCGACTTCTTGTCTGCAGACAATTGCGTTACTCTGTTAGTCTGTTAGGATGTTCATCGACAGATTCTCCTAGGGGGCTGGGATCAATAACCATAATTGAAATTGTTGTGCCTCATAAGGTTGCCGGTCGATGCAATAGCCTTCTCTGTGCATCCCAAGCCCAGACATATATAATTCAAGCATTTTAGAGCATGCATAATTTTACTCAGTCGACCTCCTCGATCCCTGTACATCAACCTCAATGGATAACAAGTTCCTGGTCCTCAATACTTGTCACTTGGATTGATTTATATATGTTATTTCATTTGATGGTGAATAAAACCTTGTCCCTCAAATTAAATGCACATCTATATAGAGCCACATAGATAGAGGTTCCATATTTTGTGAGGGTTAATTTGTAAGCAAGAGGCACCCTACTCTGATGTGTTGAATAGTCCCACATTGATTGTGGAAGGGGTCTTATAAACTGCTATTGAAGCAACCTCGGTTTTTCCCTAGCAGTCGATGCCATTGATTTTCCGGTGCATCCCAATCCCATGTGATATAAATATTCAAGCCAAGTTTCGGTTATGCAGCATCTCACCAGATCTTCTTTATAAACTTTAGGGATGAAAAGTGTTTGGTTCCTATTTGATGCTTTTCACTTGGATATGCATATTTTGGGGCGTCTTGCACACCAAACGCGAAGGACAACATATAGTGTAACAGTTGCTCAGTGACCTATGTGTGTATTTATACTACTATATATCAAATAGTTTCATTTTAAATGCTCAATAGAAAGGAACTGAAATTACAGGTACATGATGTGTGGATATTTATCTTTTTTGCTGATGCATGGTTCTGTCTGTATCAGTGAGATTCAGGTTAAGGAGAATTGATTTTAGAATGCAAATTATTTTAAATTGAGGGTGTATGTCAATCTTGAGCCTTAAAACTGCAAGCATATATAGCAACTATGTTCCTTGAAATAGAAGAAGCAGATTCCATGATATGTCAGCAAGTAACCAGCTATTGTTTTGATTTGGGGATTTTTCTCAGGGTTAACTGCCCTGTATACCCCTTCCTCCTTCTATTCTTTGAACATTATACATATAGCCCTAGGTACATCACATATTTATACCAACACTCTCCCTCATGATGGGCAAAAGATATCAATCATACCCATCTTGTTACATATTGATTGAATTTTACTGGGACCTAACCCCTTAGTTAGACAATCAGCTAGTTCACATGACTTAATATACTTTAGCCTAAGCACCTCACTAATATTTGGCCATATGTATCTTCATTTTTTATACTTACACTAATGATGTCTCTGTATATTTCTGATTGATTCCAAATACGATGTTACTATCCTTTAGATTTTATTTTAATTTAGCATTTACTCAGCCACACAACTATATAAAGCATTTTCTTCCTCGAGATAAAATTTTCATCCAACAACATTCTTTTCCTTTTTTAAGATAAAATTTTCAGCATGCAAACAACAATGCTAATATTCTCATTTTTGTCTCACGAGACATGAAGAACCTAGCAACAGGTCCATACTTTTATCCTTACTATGCCTTTCTTTATTATATTATAAGCCCTTTATATGACCACCATGTTCTAGCATCTCATAACATAATAAAAATCGGACTACCACATCTACCGTCCATTATCAAAACTTGATGGTACTAAAAAGATTATCAAACTTAGTATCCTCATATTATTTATGCCAAATTTGTTTGATTTGCACAAGGAAACTTTTTGCTATTTCATTTGTTAATTAGGTGTCACATTGTATCATTTATTTGATGCTTATGTCAATCTATCTAGCTATCACCAAGTTCTGCATCAAGATACCTAATGCTTTCCTTTATGCATTATCATGACCTAGTCTTAGCGTAACATCTTTATCAGCTTGATAGCTATTTGGCACATAGAAGTTCCGCAGCAACGTGGTGGGGTATTATCTAGTTTGTTAGGACGAGGCATAATCAATCATTTCAGCCCATCATTGCATACTACAAGTTTAATTTCTTTTTCTGAATTTTTAGGTATGCAGGTGCATACCTGGAACCCCCTTGGGTCTGCCCCTGCAAGCAGGGAGGCTTCTCTCCTAGAAACAACAGTAATATGCAGACCCTAATGGTGCTGGTTGGGAATCCCTTATAGGTGCCGGTTTTCAATCAGCACCCAGTGACGCGCACCAATGATCTCCGGCATTGTTGCCACCAGAAAAAAGGTTGTTTCAGTCAATTGGCTTAGATGCTTCTTCTAATTCAAGGAGACAAGGAACACAAATGCTATATATGCTTGCAGTTTTGAGGCCCAAGTTTGACATTACACCCTCAATTTAAAATATTCTGCATTTTTAAACCAAAGTCTCCCTGGTACAAGTAGAACTATCCTTAGAAAAGGGGATAAACACCCACACATTATTGTAGGATCGTAAAGGGACTTTCCCACCCCAAAAGCTAGCCATTGAGGTGAGGGGCTCACCCACTTATATCTTAGGTCCTTTGCCCTTCTACAACCAATGTGGGATTATTCAACAATCTCCCCCTTCACACGTTGGTGTCCCTCAGTTCTTCACCGCCCCTTTACCCATTGGTGTCCCTCAGCCCTTCAACGCCCCTTCACCGGTGTCCCTCAGCCCTTCACCGCCCCTTCACCCATTGGTGTCCCTCAGCCCTTCACCGCCCCTTCACCCATTGGTGTGCCTCAGCACTAAACCACCTCTTCACCGTATCCGGGCCCCACCGGTCCACGGTTCATTAGGCCAGAGATGTTAACCTAATTAGGCTCTGATATCAATTGTAGGATCGTAAAGGATCTTTCCCACCCCAAAAGCTAGCCATTGAGGTGAGGGGCTCCCCCACTTATATTTTAGATCCTTTGCCCTTCCACAACCAATGTGGGAAATTTCAACAATTATATTATATACGAGTTCCATGCTATTGAGCATTTTAAAATGTAACTATTTTATAGTATAGTACACAGGGCACCAACCAAACTATTACCCTACCCAGTCTGTCGTGTTTGGTGTTGTCATATAAGTAACCAAGTTCCCTCCCTTACTCTTGTAGAAGGTTACCCCAAGAGATATGCAAGTGAAAAGCATGCAGTCAGGAAAAAAAAAGGAAAAACTATCCCTGAAGTTTATTAAGAAGATCCGGTGAAATCATGCATGCTCCAAGCTTAGCTTGAATCATGTGGGGATTGGGATGCACCGGGAAATCACTTACATCGAGTCGCTGGGAAAAATCAAGGCTGCACCGGTATAGCGCATGCAGTTTCTAATTAAAACAGACAACCACTCAAGTTGTGAACTAGAGCCAAAACTGCGGGTACACAGAACTGATATTTTCTACTTGCGCTAACGCGTGGTATAGCATAGTGTACCAACGATGCCAGTGGTACAGTTACTAGCTAGCATGGTTTACTCAACTAAGTCATGATTTGATAAACGAATTAATTAATTGAAACCCCTGGAGATAGTGTATAACTGTATATGTAACTGTAAGCCATTCCATAATCTCATTTCACTGCACAAGAATCATGTTTCCTCTCATCTCGGGGACTGCAATGACCACTTGTCTGATTCTTTCATCCTCGTACTTTTCATTTTTCTTTCTTAATACGTTAATCCTACCAGCTGTTAAGTTCGAGAAAGGGAGCAGAAATTGTTGTCACTTGCGTGTTTAGTCCGAAGGTGTGGTCGTTGGACCTACGCAG